GCAGCTCATGAGCCAACAGTGCTGAATTCCCCTCCAGCAAGGGCAGCTCCATCCACACCTCAGCAAAACCATCTCCAGTCACTGAGCTGCTCCTTGTACACAGCTCCAGGCAGCCCAAACAGAAATTGCCCTCAGCATGAACTTGTTACCATCACTCCCACAGCTCCGGGGGCTCTCAGGACAATTAGCTTGTTCTGGAAAAGCATCCTTGGCTAGCATGGGGCCAAAGTGTATGGTGATGTGGGGAAAATGGGAAGAACATGGTATTTTCTGAACTTCCACACACCCCTATGAGAGTGAAAAGGGACACAACTCCATGAGACATCTCAAGGAATCCTGGTGTTCAGGAGACCAAAGTTATTTTCCCTCACAACTGCTGGTGGCACACACTGGTAACCCCACAATGCAGCCATGAGAGGGGACAACCTTGCCAAACAAACTGCCACAAGAGGAGAGGACAGGCTTGGTGGGAGGGGATGTTCAGCCGCCTGCAAAGAGGGTAGAAAACAACCAGAACATATTTCCCAAATTGGTGTCAACTGTCCGCACAGACCCCTCCAGCAAATGCAACTCATCTTCTGCACGTCCTGATGTGTCACTGCCCAGAAAACCCTTGGGTCTTTCATCTCAGTGCTTGAAATAATCCTTGGAGGCCTGTTGGTCACATCAAAAATGAGGAAATTAAATGGCAGCGTTGATGGAAACAAAAGCACAACCTGTGGCATCAGGGAGGATATTTTGCTTGGGAGTGGGTCTGAAAGAAAATTACTGCCCTTGTGCGGTGACTGAGGGCCTGGGGCAGGGCAGGAGCAGTATAAAAGCAGCACCTTCTCCTCACTCTCTCATCCACTCCTCTTGTCTCCATCTCATTGAGAACAAGGTAAGGTTGAAGACTTTTCTCCTCTCACTCCTTCTATTCTCTCTCCTTCTGTTTTCTGCACATACCTGCCCCTTTGTTTTATGCCAGGTCATAGGGCTGATTACTCTGGGAGAGAGACAGGAACAGAGAGTGAGCACAGGGAGAGTTTGGGACTAGGCTGAAGTGAGTGATGGAATAGGTGGGGTTTCCCTGGGCTTGGTTGCTCTTGGCAGGGAACTTCTTTGGCTAAATGAAAGGAGAAGTCTGTGGGCATCAGTATAACACCCCCAGCTCTTGTTCCCATCTTGCCTTGACAGTGTAGCTGCATGGTGTGGTGATGGATGCTCTTCAAAAACCCCTCATGACATTTTCTTGCCCTCTCTCCCAGGTGCATCTGCAGCCCCCAGCCATGTCCTGCTACCCCCGGTGCCAGCCCTGCCAGCCCTGTG